GTGAGCCACATTTTCATGACTTCTGGTACACATTTTTATCATTTGATTTCATAATCCTAAAGACTGAATTTTGTACTCAAACATATTTTGAAATTTATTAATGATCTGCATGTACTTTTACTTTATAGTACTTAAAAGTGTAAAAACAAAGTTGGTTTATACCAATATGCCTACCTTTGCATTCCAGATTGCACTGTTGAAACCAAGCATTTTGGGTAACTGATAGTAATACTCTTCTTGCAAGGATCTTTCAAAGCAATATTAGGTTAATTAGCTCTTTATATTTTTTTAAATGGAGTTAATTTGTGCTACAGTGTATATAAATAAGGAAGCAGGAGCAGCAAAAGTCACATTCCTTTTATTTGAAATGTCCATAGAACCATTTCCAGGTACAAGAAGTAGGAATGGCTGGTAATTACTCAGTGGATACAAGGTTTTATTTTGGTGTGATGAAAATGTAAAATAAAAGTAGGAAAAGAAGTATACCCTACAATGTGAGGCAGGCCATCCCTCCAAGAGAGAACACAGGGGCTGGACTTTGTCTTTACTGCATACAAAAATTAACTCAGTGGTTCATGTACCTCAGTGTAAGAGTGAAAACTATAAAACTCTGAGGGAATCCAGGAATATGTTCTCATGATGCTGGGTTAGGTATAATCTTAGATAGGATTTTGAAAATACAAATGACCAAACTATAAGTTGGGCATCATTAAAATTAAAAGCATGTCCTTTCCAGGGTGAGGGTATAGCTTGGTAGTAGAGTGATTGCCTAGTGTGCATGAAGCCCTAGGTTCAATCCTCAGCACTGGGGAAAAGAGAAAAGGTGTACTTCAAAGAACACCATCAAGAAAGTAAAAAGAAGCTAGGTGTGGCATTTAGTCCCTTTCCCAAGAGTTGCCAAAGTTCTAACAGTTTCAGCATTGTTGAAAAGTCCCCAAGTCTAAAGTCTCCTCTGAGATTTAAGGCAAACTCTTGGCTGCATGCCCTTGTACAAATAAAAAGAAAGTTAAACACTTGCAACATTCAAAAGCACAAGATAGACATTTCCATTCCAAAAGTTACAAACGGGCATAGCAAGGAATGGGAACAAAGCAAGACCAAAGTGAGTCTTTGAGGGGCCAGGGGCAAAAAGTTATGGCTTGTGTTTAGGTATCCACCCAAAGCCTCATGCAGTCATAGGTGGGGCTTTTTCAGAGGTGGCTGGATCTAGAGTGTGTGATGCTGGAATTGATTCATGGTGCAATGCTAGGATCAAGGGTGTTAAGATTAGGATTAAGACTGTGAGTGCTGGGCCAGGGATTTAGCTCAGTGGTACCTCACCTGCCTGGCAAGCACAAGGTCCTGAGTTCAATCCCCAGTAGCAAAAAAAAAAACGGTGAATGCTACCTGCCCTAAATAGCCTGGGCAAGATATAAGAGATAGAAAGAACTGTGGTCATCCCTTGTTGCTTTGCTACCCTCTGCCCTCCATTAACTGTTTCTCCTCTTCAATGCCTTACCTTACCTTGGAGCCAGCCAATTATGCACTGAAAGGTCTACAAACTGAGGTAAATAAAGCTCACCTCATTTAAAAAAAAAAAAGAAAACCAGGTGGGGTGGTGCATACTTTAAATTGCAGCACTTTGGGAAGCTGACACAGAAGGATGGCAAGTTTAAGCCCATCCTGAGTGACTTAGTTCAGGGGCAAGCCCTAGGTTCAAATCCCAGTGACCCCTGGCTTCCATCAAAAAGGGCTGGAGATATAGTAGGACCTCTGTTGAAATCACCCCCTCCCAACACCCAGAGTGAAAAAATAGCCCATTGATGACAAGAAATGTTTGTAAATCTTCCCCCCCTTGTTTTCAGACAGGGTCTCATTGAGTTGGCAAGGCTGGACTTCTGGAGTTAAATGAGATCCTTCTGCCTCAGCCTCCTAGAGTCCTGGAATTACAGGCATGTGCCACCACACTCAGCTAGCAAATCATTCCTTTAATAGGCTCTTGGTGGTTGGCATCTAACATACTCATGAACAAACCTAATTTTTAGAAAGGACAGCAAACATACCAAAAGATGCTTAGTTAGCATCATTTGCTATCAGGGAAATGCAAATCAAAACTATGAAATACCGTTTCATACTGCCTAAATGGCTAAAATTAAAGTGACAGATAAGTTCTGTCAATGACATAGTGAAATTGGGCCCTTCATGCACTGCCTGGTGGGTGTGCAAGATTGTGCAGGTGCTTTGGAAATCAGTGTGGCATTCTTCAGAAGACAGAAGGAGCTGGGCTTGGTGACCCATGATTGTAATCTCAGTTTCTCCAGGGTGAAGGTGTAGGGTTTGCAACTTCAGTGCCAGACTAGGCAACTTAATGAGACAATTCTGTGTCACAGTAAAAACTAGAAAGGGCTAGGGATATAACTCAGTGGTAGGGTGCTTGCCTCACATGTGCAAAGTTTAGTCCCTAGTACCATTTTTTGAAAAACGCTGAGCAGAGTTCTGCTCCTAGGTGATACACCAGAGAAATGAAACATGCACTGTGTACAAAACACGATTATTCGTAATAGCCTAAAAGTGGAAAAGTCCAAATGTCCATCCATGGCTACGTAAAACCTGACCTATTCATATGGTAGAATATTTAGCAATAAAAAGGAATGTGGTTCTGATACATGCTATGAGCATGGAAACACACTAAGTGAAAGGCCAATCACAATAGACATGTATTTGTATGATTCATTCCTGTGAAATGTCCAGAGAAGTCCGATAGAGACAGAAGGCAGATTAATGGTTGCCTAGGGGCAGCAGTTTTGGAGGAAATAAGCAAGTTGCTCAGTAGTATAGAGTTTATTTTAGGGGAGATGGAAATGTTCTAAACTCCAGCTGAGTGTGTTGGAACACCCGTGATCTCAGCCACTGGGGAGTTTGAGGCCAGTCCGGGCAATTTAGTGAGATCCTCCTATTTCAAAATAATGGTTTTTTTAAAAGGTCTGGGGATGAAGCTCAGAGCATTGCCTAGAATGTACAAGGTGTTTAGTTCTGTACACACACACACACACACACCCAAAGGAAAAGAATGAAAATGTTCTAAAATTGTTTAACAATTGAATTATTCTCTGACCATACTAAAATCCACCGAATTGTGTATTTTAAATAATTGAATTTTTAATTTTGTGTAAGTTATATATCAAAGTATTAAATGTTAAGCTTTTTTGCCTTACAATGGTTTTTATTACCTCAATGAGATATCTTTTTTAAAACTTTTTTTTTGAGACAGCGTCTCACTAGTTCAGGCTGGCTTTGAACTCACTGGATAGCCCTGGCTGGCCTTGAACTTGCAGAGATCCTCTTGCCTCAGCCTCCTGAGTACTGAGATTACTGGGATTACAGCTGTGTACCACTAAGCCCAGCTGAATGGTTTTTTTGGGGGGGGTACTGGGGATTGAACTCGGGTCCTTGCGCTTGTGCAGCAGGCGTCAAACCACTGAGCTAAATTTCTGGCCCATGAATGTTTTTTTAAATAAAGGAATTTTTAATTATGTAGATTTAGCTTCCTAAACTGTTAGAATCCTAGAAATATTCCTCCTAAAGAATTATATTTCAACATTAACAACAAAAGCTCAGCAGTCTGTGGAAAAAATTAATTTTTATTAGTGATGCTAGCCGTAGGATTCTTTAAAAAGAAAACATTCAGAATTATGAGACTCATAAAATGGTTCCAATAATAATTTATCTACCAAGTCAGGAGAGTATCTCAGCCTGCACACACTCTGGAGAGCTGTACCAATGGCAAACAAGTCTTTGTGTCAAAAAGACAATCGTACTCTATTAATTTATAGATCACATTGCTTTTTATTTGTGAATCTGGATTGTAGAAGCTTCCATTGTACAAGATAGAATAAAAGTGTCCACTGGGCAATAGCAGAACAGTGGTATTTGTGAATGAGAAAACAGAATAGTAGGAAAAAAATAGTCTCCTGTTATTTCAGACTACTTTTTTGTAAGGGTTAAAACTCGAGGGGTTATGCTTGGGGATTTGGATGTTATCTCCCAATTTCTCAGCAGGTCAGATAAACAACTTGGTTTTGCCTTTGTGATGTGGAACTTCAGCACGAATGACTGTATTTTGGGCCTAGAGCAGGATCCCACTCGAAACCAATGGACTCCTTCCTGAATATCTGTTTCTTCTCTGAAAACCAGCTTGTTGGGCAGGATAGAAAAGGTAGTCTAGTTTAGAGAAGGTGGTGGTGGTGTTTAGGAGAAGACTCTTGTTTTAGGTAAAATTACCACAGAGAAGCCTGATTTATTTTATTTTATTTTATTTTATTTATTTATTTATTTATTTATTTATTTTTAGTACCGGGGATGGAACTCAGAATCTTGTGCTGGTGAAGCAGGCGGCAGCACCTCTGAGCTAAATCCCTGAGCCTAGGGTGGTTTATTTTAATGGTACACGTGAATCAGAATCAGGAAGGTGCCCAAGAACCAAGGGAGCCAACCTGTCTCTCTTACCCAGGAACTTGAGGGTTTGTGGTTTGTGGGCTCTCCTAATATTTACTTTTTTCCACATTTCTAACTTGTCTTTAATCTCATCATGTTCTTCATAGTGTCACTTTATACACATGCCTTTTATTGGCTGCTCCACAACCTTTGAGATCAGTTAATTCAGTTTCCCAATTTTAATTCCCAAGGGGAAAAAAGAATCTGATTGGTTAATCCATCTTTATCAGCTAGTTAGCCTATAGACCCACTTACCGTATGCCTGTCCCAGAAATTGTCAGACTGTGGACCTTTTAGGAATAAAAGGAGCTGTGGTGAGGTAGTGTTCTGGTTGTTTCAACTTGTTATTGTCTCTATTCCCCTACTAAAGGGGCTTTAAGATTCATAAGGGCAGACGCTGCAGACGCTGCAGACAGGTAGGTCTGCGGATGCTGTATCAAGGTCGCTGAATCAGTCCCGCCCCAGCAGCAATTCACTGGACACCCCACACACACACACCCTCCTCCTCTGGCCTCTTCTCTGTACAGCCACCTGGTTCCACACTACAAAGACGCAGAGGACACTGGACCACCAGACCACACTACTGGGTAAGTTGGAGTCATCTTCACCTCCCATCAGGACCAGGACTATCTTCAGGGGAAGGGGAGCTGGAACCTGCACTACAACTCTGCAGAGTTCAACCCTACAGGAGGAGAGGGAGCTCGACTTGGGACGTGCAGCCAGAAATCTGCTTAAATCTCACGGGTCTGCAACTAGCTTGCTGAGACTCATTGACTTATATCTGCACACTGCTACCCACGTTGTCTATTGTGACAGCAGGGACATACCCTGAAAGAGGCCCTTCATCTTCATGGTTATTTTTTATTCCCCAAATTAGTATTATTAGTTT